TAGATGCATAATTGTCATTTGAGTAGGCTGCTACATTTCACACATCACACAATGAACTACAAACGTGAAGCTGTACTGAATTTCTATGGTACGAATCCTGGTAACCTTTTACCTTTTGTGAACGCCTCCAATATGGAGCCAAGCCAGCTTAGCTTGTCAATCTTGATGCCGAATCTACACTTACTCATTTCGTTTGCATTACGCCTTGGATGAGGCCATTGCAGTTCTTTTATGTTTTTATGCCTCACCGAATTTGCAGCAGTTGAGGGACATCGATCCGATGAGACACTACGCCAGATTCCATTGCTACACAGCTGCTTCTAGGATTAGCCGAGTTTACCACTAAAAATGGGCGTTCTTCTTTATCACCACTTCTACCTTCGTGCAATAACACTTTTCCTCACCTTGTTTACCGGTAGTGACTGTGCTGTGTTTAGACGTTAGTATTGCCGTTTCTGCAGTTAGAATTTGTTTGGATTTTTTTATTATTTACTTTTGATTGTGCTACATCTTCTTCCTCTCATCGAAGGTGGCAGTCTTTTAAAAGTTATCGGTTCGGTGGTAAGGCAGGAACGTCAGTTGTTGATGGAAAGCGCTAGGTGTTAGTTTTATCTACAGTGAAGTCTAAAGAGTTAGTATTTTTTGCAAACAATTATTTTTGTCCAGGTAGGCTTTTAGAATTTGTTTCTTTTTAAATATATTCAAACTCTACTTCTAGTTCTCCTCCAGCGAGATGCGGACATATCGGAGTTGCAAAAGGCCTACGACAATCAGGTATGTGAATTATTGTTTTATTTCAAGCTCGCAATACTGAGCTATACTGTCAAGCATTCTATCAGCTTCGACAACGAGGTGTAATACCACTTGGTTATATTGTGTTATTTATAACATTGCTTCCAATACACCAGAGGCGGCTTATCTGGCCATTGGTCAATGAAAGTGGATACTGGAAACGGCAGTAGGGGCTAACTCAGTTACAGTACCTCTTCCGTTGATATTCTCCTAGTTTGCTTTACATGCTGGTCTTTTTCTGCATTTGAGTTAAAACAGCATGTTTTGCGGAAGGAAGTTTTGCAAGTGTTGTCAAAAACGGTCGGAAGAACTAACCGCTCACATTCTTCAAGAGCAAATAACTCTTCTTTGCCAGATTTTTTAACAACTGAAAGCTGCTTAAACTGAATGCTAAAGTGATGGTATCGCGAACATCATTTGCATTCTTTCTCCTACGACAGCTGTCCAAATATGGTCGACGCTTGACTACAAGAGTTAGATTTCCTCATCACTATGTCCGCATTCCAGATTGCGGAGCCTTATTGTCAGTGGTGATAATAGCTGCAGTAGTAGATCCTTTTTTTTCCTATTTTGATCTGCAATTGAATTTTATTAACTACTGTTGAGCTTCGTTTTTACTGATTTTGCCTCAGTGGTCAAAGTCTATTTCCTCTGCGATTAGCGAGTCACGTGACGGGAACTGAGCGCCGGAACTTTGCTTCCTGTTAAAGCTTCACTCGGCGCTGAAACAAGTATGATTGGTGAACATTATATCGTCCTAGGCAGGCTGATGAACCTTGAGATTGTTTTAACTCATTGTAACGTTCTTCTCAGGTTGTTTCCTTTCTTCCAGCTCGCAGAAGAGCGTCGAAAGTGGGCAGCACGGGTGGCGGAATCTCATCAGAAATTTTCCAAAGAGTTTGATCAGCAACAGATTGATCACGAATCTCAAATTATGGGTACGTCGCTTCATCCGCCTTTTAACCCGTATTAGTGCGGAGATTCCGTGTACTGAGATCCGTTTTTAGCTCTTAGCTCTCAATTTAGGTTGACCATTCAACTTATGCTCTTAATGACCTCTTTCCGGTAGTAAAATACCTAGAAGTGGAATGTGGCGCTTCTTCCTTTCATGTATTGCTCGTCTGGATTAGTGTAAGCTACCGTACTGGCGGCAGCCGCATAGATTTTTTGCGACACTTGGAATCGATTTGCGCCGTTTTTTCCCACCCACAGTGTGGGATATTGCGGAAGTGCGCAGCTGTTCTACTACTTACATCTTGTTTATTTTGTTTGTTGGGATGTGCATGCGCAGCCCTCTTACAAACGCTCATTACAATCTCCGCATGGAAGGTACCAGCAGTTCAGCTTCCCCAATTTTTGCCCATTCATGTCCAACTTGTTTCCTTAATATGGAGCATGCGCTAACTGCAATACTTTCCCGTTTTTAATCTCTCAAAATTATTTGGGTTCATTTGACTCGTTAAATATTTTAGAGCTCAAGCGTCATAATGCGACTCGTATTGCAGACTTGGAAAACTGCCTCAAATCTACGGAACTTGAGTTCTCAGTAAGCCCGTCATACTGGATGAAATTCTCCTGTTCTCCTTTCAGCTGTTTTCGACACCCCATCAACTAGATACTAAGGCAGTTGCTTGCTTAGTCCTATAATTTTTGTCCACCACTGGTGTCAGTGGATCGCGTCATCTTAGGTCAAATTCAAAGTGCGTACATTGGTCGGAAGGTAGTTGTACTGTTTTGCTGATCATAAGTTTCGCCTTTTAGTCGCAATTAAAACATATTGATGTTGCATCTTCAGTTTGTGGGTAACCGTAGACTGATTCGTAAATACTGGGATTGTTTAAGCTTTTCATCAGATTTTTTATGCTAAAAGCAGCTACCATTGTTGGTGGCTGGATTTGAACTAAACAGTATATGCATCGTTAAAGGTTCGTTTTTCGCTCATACTGCAGGGTGCACGTGTAAAGAAACATTGGAATTTATCGGAGTTTTGTTTAGTGGTGCCTACCAGGCGTTTACCCGGTGTGCCAAATGTTATAGGCAAAAGTGAACCGGCTCCAATCCGAGTGTGACGAACTGCGCAGGCTCTCGAAAGAGGCCCAAAAAAGCGCTTCTGAAACGCCACAACAAATGCATTCATTTACGCGACCAGAAATGTCGGACTTTTCTGTGAGTTGTTGCTGCTTTCATTTCACTGAATCGGCCTTTTTTTCCGTAATAGTGGTTGCATTCGACGGGACCACCGTTTAAGAGGGAACCGCCGGTTACTTGAAAGCCGGCAACTTTCATCACACAATCAGACTTCATTAGCGTCTTTCCACTCATTTATCTTTTCATCTGAATTTTCATTAAAACTTGGGGTCAACTTTTAGTCGATGCTGTTGAAATAATCCTATGTCGCCATCCATTCATTTTCTGGTAGATTTGTCATTTGGATGAAAATTATGAATGTGAAAACTTTGCTTAGCCACTTAACATTCATTTTCACCAGATGTTACCTTCAACCTCGCAACATTATCGGATGATAAGAAATTTACCGTTTGCGGTGGGGATTGCTACAAATTTTCGCAACGTGTAGGAAGTAGCCAAAAATGTTACTCTTTATGCGTATAACGTAGAGGATCCACACGCCTCAAGTTATTGGCACCGTACCCTTTTCATCCTTGCTTCAAATTGTCATTTGTTCAGAGCCTCTGGATCGCGCAATGTCCAGTAATGTTTAGTCAAATTGATGGAATCTACGAATCCTGTGCGTTAACGGTCGCTGAGGTGTTTTACATGTGATTGAGTTACTCTTTCACTCCTTCACAAACTCAATCAGAGTTCGCTGTGAATTTTCAGTTGTGTGCTGACTGGTCCACTGATTTAGATGACTGGCTGGTGGTAGTGCTGCGAAATTGTTACACTTACAGTCTGAACGTCCGCATTGACCTGATTGCATTTTTCAAAGGTATGGCAAATACTTATTCTTGGCATGAAAAAGTTACAAAAGTGGACAGCGTTGTAGTAGAAGTTAAAAAAGTGAGGAGGTAACTGGAGCTAGATTGCTTTTGATTTCTATCAGATAAAGTGGACTATGAAAGCGGGAACGATGGTGGATTATAATAATAGCCCGGTTAAGCGAATTGGTTGTGATTCTCTATATGTTGCTCTTTCAAAACGCCCATACTATTTTATGAATGTCTATTTTTTTGGTTCCCCTTTTTTGTTTGTATCAATGTTTGTAGGCTCCTTTTTCGGACGTATTCTTGCATCAAGAAGTTGTGAATTTTTAAGCCGGAAAATGTGGTCTACCTGTGGCAAATGGCCGAGCCGTCTGCTCACTTATTGCCTCATTCGATTCTCGTACTGTTAAACTCGTTTTTGCTTCCACGACTGTTTGACGGTATGAAAACGAATTGTCCACTGTTATAATCCTTCACCGTTTTGCTATCCAGGAACTTTTAACGCTTCTGATTTTCGACATGCGTGAAGGTGTCCACTTCCAGTATGCGCAATTATGTGCTGTAAAGTGGGATTTACATCGACCCTGCTGCGTCAGCTGCAAGCATTCCTTCGCACTTTGCTGAATATTGAGCTGAAACAGTTTTTCTTGAAAACTTTGTCATCGTAGCAATGGAATTCATAATCTATGAAACTATAACCTTATGGTCAGTCTAGGTTTTGCCAGTGAATGTGCGCTTTTACGGTGTTTTGTTCATGAGGCATTTTTATAATGGGCTACTTCTATTGGCTTATTGAAGTTGAAGCACTGCAGACATTCCTGAATTACAATGTCTCAATTGGTCGCTGGGGTTGGGGTGTATACTTATGCTCCCATGACAACGCTTGCTCTTTCGTTTGAACTGATTTGAATGCTCACGTAAGCTTGTTTAAATTGAGAGCGAATGAGCTCTTGAAGTTTCCCACCCAGTCGAATATGCATACTGGCACAAATGGACTGCTATCTGTCGCAACTTCCGCGAAGAGTCACATGGTACTTACTGTCTTACGTCTTACGCAGGTACAAACTCCCTCCTTGCTTGAGGATGAAGCTCCTGTCTCTAAAGAGGGGACTTTACGAAGTTTTAATTTTGATGATATTCCTATATCCATGACGCGTTCCTGTTGCACACCTCAAGCAAAGACGACTTACCCCGTCTTCCTCTCACCTGCTCTCACCTATCCGGACTCTACTCAAGCGAAACAGCTAGCCAGCAAGTCCCAAACTTTAGAGGTAGGTTTTTCTCGGTTAGTAAATCCTCATCTTTGACTGCATTATTCATTTAGTTTTTTGGCCCATATGCATGAGCAACGATTGTCTCCTCTAGGTTTGGCGTAGCTATCACTTACTAACTAGACCGTCCGACTTGAAGTAAATAATGATTATGTCAATGTCTTGCTTTTTTATTCAGCTTTTTCGGAAGCACCTCGTATGTCTTCAACACCGTGGCACTGATGCGCCTTGGCCACGGTGGCCACGCATAGACTAAACTGTTTGCCACAGTGCAGTGCTTAGAACATTGCCTTGCACATCAGGCAGGTCGTCTGACCCTAATACAAATGATTTCCCGAATTTCAATCCAAAATCCATTCCTCAGTTGGTAGTTTTTTGCACACTACTCATTTTGAAGTTAGTGGTTTAGAGCTACGCTACCTTTGGGGGAGGAGGGGGAAGTGCAATATGAGATGCGACGTGGGCAGATGATCTCCGTGTTTCGCCATCGATTTGATCGGTTTGATGCCCTAATGTGAATAACACGTTGCCTTCTTTGAAATAGTCTTATCGCAACATTTTAGTAAATTAAACGTCTTATGTACACATATCTATATTTCGAAAGATGTTTTTATTTCGTACGTTGCACGTATTGTGATTGGTTTTTTCATTTTTTTTTTTTGGAAATTTTGCTTCTATCCATAATTCACGAGGGTATTTTGTATTGCTTAGGCGAAATCTTGAAAGCTAATTTTTAACTTGTGAGTTGCGCGATAATACTGTTTTTTTACTTGGCAGAGTTCGGTGTGGTAGCTCGCATTCGAATGCACTAGATTTACCATTTCTTCTCTTCAGTCTAATTTCACTTATTTTTCTTCCGACCTAATATTTTTTCTTTCATAGTCGACAATTGACTCCGCGTTGCAGGAGGAAATCGAAAGTCTCAAGGCAGTACTTGAGTTGAAATCTGCAGAGGCAGCGGATCTGCGCCAAAAAACGATGCAACTGGAAGAGGAGGTACGCATTTTCTCTTATTATTAAAAGTTTTGTGCGGATTCTTGCTAGGCTATTTCCACTTGACGGACTTCTCTAATTGTAGTTTGTTTTTTATTCGTTTTAGTTCATTTAATATTATATTATATTATATTAAGGGCGGCTAAAAGTGTTCACTGTTTCGTAAACCGCTGCAGATCTATGCATCTTTTGGTTCTTTGTTAAATTTTTTGGACAATAAAGATGAAGCAACTAGTTCGGCAAGATGAATTCGGTCCTCATGAACCTGCGTATAGCACGTTTTCGCAAACTTTCGTGATCCCTGTAGTAAATTTACAACCCTGAGAACGAGCCTTGATCCTTGCCTCAGATGCAGCTGCATGTCGCATGCCCCGGCTTGGAGGTATCGATGCTTTATTCTTGCATAGATCCAAGTAGAGCAAACAATGCCTCATAATTCCGTTGAGTCGTAGTTTGAAATGACATTTTGCTCCCGTCCAGTCGGGCAATTGTTGCGTCAATATCCCCCTCTATAGCTTTTATGGAATTCAAATAACGCCCACATTATTGTTCCAGTAGCTGGAAGTTGTTCTGTTCATGTTTAAACACTAGACGGACGATTAACTTTCTACCCCAACTAAGCACTTGTTCGCATTTTTGGAAAGTTTGTCAAAAATGCTACTTTTACACTTCTGTGAAGGATTTACATTAACCTTAGCTAGCAACCATAAAAGAAACGAATAAAGAAATCAAGGAACTGCAAAATCGGAATGAAAATCTGGAAGCCCTTCTGGAGTTACGTGCTGCGAGTCAGAAGTAAGTTTTGCTCTTGTTTTTAGTATTCTATGCTCCTGCCTCCATATGCACTCTTTCTTCGCATCTGCTAGAACACGTATCGTCTTTCTCTTAACACAGAAATCAGAACAGTTAACTCTGAGGATTTCCTTCAATCATTTTTGTCTTACCCGACTTTTATGCCTCGCCCGTTTTGGTTAGATGCTGTTATTTTGACATGCGTTTTTCGAGTGCTTCCGCTTCTTCGCAATCTGATAATATGGCAGCCGCTCAGTGTTCCATTTGTAACTTACCGTTTTCCCTTATTTTCTGTTAGAATTCCGTCTGCCACGGCTATGGATCTAAAGGGTTTTGTCTTCTTGCAATTCCCTTCAGTCTAGTTTTCCCCCCGCTAGTTGGTTTGGTATGAACCATCTCAAATGTAGCGATTGGCGTGATATTTTAATTCACTTTAGGTCCAATTTGTCTTCTTATTTCTCGAATGCAAAACTTGTTTAACCTTTAGAACTTTGTGAAAGTTTCTCATCTTTCATACTTTTCGTATTTAATCCACAATTCTCGTCCTATATTGAATCCTCGTTCAGCCGTTCTTGTTATAGGTATTGCTTCGACAGGCTTCCCATATGCTGCTATTCCGTTTACTAGGGGGAATCTTTGATTCAACTAATTGCATCAGTTTCATGTTCTCTTTCTTGGAAACTTAAGGTCAGTGCTCAGTGCGATAAGGAAGCAGTTGCTGTCGTACGTCTAATTATTGGGTCGTTCCCCAAGGCTACCTATGCATTTTATTTTCTTTTGGGTTGTTTCATTGCGAGGAAGGCGGTCAGTAAATCGATCTAACGAGTGAACGTGAATTTTTGACCTGAAAACAACCGGTTAAGGCCCGTCTTACCTCGCCCCCTTCAGCCCTCTGGTCTCGCTTCCCGCCATGTACTTTTTTGTGGAGTTATAGTATATGTGAGCCCGATAATTCCTTACTGCTTCTCTGCTTCACTTGAGCCCAACATGGCCGCAAATCATGAAACAGAACAACCACCTTTTGTGTTAAAGATGACGACATTTGACGTTAGAAATACAAATTGTATGAAGTTGCGGCTTTCAAAGCTGTATCAAAACCAGTCAGGGTTCATTGCTCCCTTAAATTTAACACCTTCTTGTCAGAAAGGAATGAATTGGTGATGTCATCAAATAGATTTTCTTGAAATTTATCGAACGCTGTATATAAATGCTGTATCTACCTTTATTCGGTAATGTTAATAGCATTTTTCCCTCTCAGCGGTCACTTCAGCGTCGTAGTGTAAGCGCGGACGTTGGCGCTTTATGAGTTCTCTGTCTACACCTTGAAATTGGTCAGAGATTTGTTTAGGTTTGTTTTGTCGAGTTCTACTCGAAATCGATCATGAAATACGTGGAATCGTCGGTTCCCATCCCTGTGACTGGTTCGTGCAGTGGTGGCATTGTAGATTAAACCAATCCACACCTGGTTTGCACGGAAAAGGAAAGCTCCCCTACTCGTATGGCTTTAGTAAGATTTCATTTTTTATTTCAGACAGTTGCAAGACCGTGTGCAAAGTATGTTCCATAACCTGGAAAAGGAGATAAAGAATAAAAAGAAGCTCAAAGCGGAATGCGAATCACTTCGATTCAAATTACTTGATGCCCATCACAAAATTGACCAACTAAATGCAGCGAACGCCAGTGAAGACGATAACTTTGACATGACTGATCCTCTTTGCATGTCCAGGTTCGATCATCACCCCCTTTTCCTCTTTCTCTCCTTATCATTGGATTTGGTAGGCTATTTATTTTGTCACCTAGATCACTTTACTCTGATCCTCGTACGAGCAATCCCGTGGCGGGGGCAAGCAGTCGAAGTCCACGGCCAATTTCAGGAACGCCAAATTCCCCCGCCGACGTAGATGATTGTCTGCCAGCAGGCTCTTTCATCTCACTGGACACTAGACCTACTAGCAGTTCCACGCGGCTGCGTCGAGGATTACAGCATGACCGCAGCAAGAGGCGCACTTTGGCCACCTCTGCAGAACTGGAGCATCATACTCGACATTAAAGCTAATCTCCACGTACATCATGTATATACGGCTTACCTTATAAGAAGTTGCTTGAATTTGAAATTGCGTCCGCTTTTGCCTATTAATTACTGCATTTTTAACAACACTATTTGCTCCTGCTGAAATTGAGTTCTGTAATTGAAACGACTCATGTGCATTATTATGTAATCTTAAGAAAGGACTGTTGATTTGCTATTGTTAACAAGTAATTAATTGTGATAGCTTGGGCGTCAGGTCTCCACAAACACATGTTACAAAAGCAGCATGCTCGTGTTTCTTCCTCCTGAAGTGTCTTTGCTATTTGAACTGCGCATACAAGTTGGTCCCTACTTGCCATCCATTATGCTACGCGAGACTGTCCTTGAAGTATCTTCACAAATTTGATGCGGTCTTGCACGAAGCATTGGGGATTGTTGGATTCCTTGGGTTTAAAGTGAGGGCAATCCAGTGCTGTGGTAAGGAGGATTTGTTTAGTCAACCAATTTCAGGTTGGTGCTCTGTCACCTAACCCAAGTTTAGACCATGTGGACTGAAATGGTGCGCAAAAATGACCGGTCATGTCATGCCTCCACCTGTGCTGGGTCGCGCAAACTGAACGGACAAACTGATAAACTGAGAAGTGTTGCAGCATTTCATCGCCTTGCAGTAAACAATTTCTCATTAAGAGATCATCTCTCTTTGACCGTCATGACTGCTAAGCGTCATGCCAGGTTTTTGGCTGGATGGCGTAAGTCTAAGTCTCGTTTTCGAAAATCATTTGTT